TATATGTGTGTGTGTGTGTGGGGGGGGGAGGCTGGGGGTGTGGGAGTGTGTGTGCATATGTTTTATTTTATTGTTGTATGTTATGTTTTGAAGTTGCTCTGATAACAATAAAGGTAAGTTTACATTATAAAAATGTTTTACCTCCAAAGTGGCAGCCATCTTGGAATTTTTTGTGATGACGTCATCATTCCGATTAGTTTTTTTTTTGCGAGAGTGAAGAGTAACTACTTAGCCAAGTCCAAGTTACATTTGATATATAGCATATGTATAAGTGACTAAAAACATACATTTATTTCCCCTACCCCATCTTAATTAGTCCAAAATAGGATATTTTATGTCAAAAATTAAAAGTGCTATAACAAAAGTTGCCCAAGCTCTAAGAATGGGGATTTTTTTTCCTGAGACACTATATGATATACTGATTCAGAAAAACCAAAAATAAATTTTCCTTTACTTTTTCCCGCTAATTTCCTACTGCACCCAGTCTACTATACAATATCCGAATAGAAGGGATTCTCTTCTTTCGATTCCTGGGTCGCAAGGCTCCATGCACTACTGGCATTGGTAAGACATCTTGAGAGAAATGAGCGTCATTTTGTGCCTTGTAGTATTTGACAGTCCAATGACCATTTACAATGTATACCGAACTTGACAAATTTATCGTTTTTTCCCGCCATATCACACAGTTGAGCCTACTAAAGCAATGCAATATCCTAATAGAAGGGATTCTCTTCTTTCCATTGCTGGGTAGCATGGTTCAATGCCTAGCTGGCATTGGTAAGATATCTTGAGAGAGAAGGGCGACGATTTGCGTCTTGTGTTTTTCGACAGTCCACTGACCATTTACTATGTGTAACGAACTTCACAAAATTATCGGGTATTTCTTGCAATATGTGAGCGATAAACCAATGCAATACCCTAATAGAAGTGATACTCTTCTTTCGATAGCTGGGTCGCAAGGCTCCATGCGCGGCTGGCATTGGTAAGATATCTTGAGAGATAAGCGCGACATTTTGCGCCTTGTGTTTTTCGACAGTCCTTTGACCATTTACAATTTATGTCGACGATAGCAAGTATTGTCGTTTATTTTGCCAAATCAGATCGATGAACCTTCTGAGACAATGTAATATCCTAATAGAAGGATTTCTCTTCTTTCGATTGCTGTGTAGAAAAGCTCCATGCGCCGTTGTCATTGGTAAGATATCTTGAGAGATAAGCGCGACATTTTGCGCCTTGTGGTTTTCAACAGTCCATTGACCATTTACTATTTATGCCGAAGATGACAAATTTTGTCGTTTATTTTGCCAAATCTAACCGATGAACCTGATACATCAATGCAATATCCTAATAGAAGAAATTCTCTTCTTTCGATTGCTGGGTAGCAAACCTAAATGTGCACCTGGCATTAGTAAGATATCTTGAGAGAGATGCGCGTCATTTGCGCCTTGTGGTATTTGACAGTCCACTGACAATTTCCTTTATATGCTGAAGATGGCAAATTTTGTCATTTATGTCGCCAAATCTCACCGTTGAACTTGATAGACCTATACAATATCCGAATAGAAGGGATTCTCTTCTTTCATTGCTGGTGGCAAGGCTCCATGCCACTATATTCATTGTATTTATAGACGAAGTGTTTCATTACACAAAGGGTGTTGAATATAATTCTCACAATTAAGTTTCGCGGGGCTTATTCGAGAGCGGCGCTTAGCGAAAAAAGTCACGTTTTAATCACCAAATTTTGGTAAATGCCAGTTTGGCCGACCGACAGCCAAAGGCACAGTGGCGATAGACAAATCGCCGACTTTTTTTTGTAACATTCGCGACACATGATTTTAAAAAAAACATTAAATAGGCCTAATAAATGCTTTTTAACTACTGTTAATGTGTTATGCTATGCATTAAAAACGCCATATTTATGAGAAAATAGCAGTTCAATTAACAGTCTTGCACTGGAAGGGACCAAAACAAAAAGTCCTTTTAATGATGTGGAAATGTGTGTGCACGTCTGAAAAAGGGGTTTAACTGATTGAATGAGGATAAAGTAACATTAACAACGTCCGCCGAAAACCAACACTTTTTCACACATAAACTAACAAAATAACTAGCCTCTTTCTCTTGATCTGATACTGCTGATCACCACTAACTCGTCCTATGTGACGATTTAAGTTCTAGTTTATTATTATTATTGTTATTATTATTATTAAATTTTGGATGCCTATTTCCATTTGCTTTCATAATCATTTTATTAATTATTATTATTATTATTATTATTATTATTATTATTATTATTATTATTATTATTATTATTATTATTATATTTGAATAAGGCCTGTTCATATATGTAAGACTATATATACAATATATATACCGTATACATTATTATTATTATTATTATTATTATTATTATTATTATTATTATTATTATTATTATTATTATTATTATTATTATTCAATTAACAGTCTTGCACTGGAAGGGACCAAAACAAAAAGTCCTTTTAATGATGTGGAATGTGTGTGCACGTCTGAAAAAGAGGTTGAACTGATTGAATAAGGTTAAAGTAACGTTAACAACCTCCGCCGAAAACCGACACTTTTTCACGCATAAACTAACAAAATAACTAGCCTCATTCTCTTGATCTGATAGTGCGGATCACCACTAACTAGTCCTATGTGACGATTTAAGTTCTAATTTATTATTAATATTATTATTATTATTGTTATTATTATTATTACATTTTGGATGTCTATTTCCATTTGCTTTCATAATCATTATTATTATTATTTATTATTATTATTATTATTATTATATTTGAATAAGGCCTGTTCATATATTATAATTATTATTATGTAAGTCTGTATATACAATATATGTACCGTATACATAACAATTATTATTATTATTATTATTATTATTATTATTACGATTGTTAATTATTATTATTATTATTATTTATTATTATTATTATTATTATTATTATTTTATAGCTACACATTACTTTTTATTAATTAGATGATTGAATTGGAATAAGTCGTATTTTAAGCTGAAATTTTTAAAACATGAATTATGTAGATTAAGTTATAGAAAATAATGTATATTAAGGCCATACTAATGTTATATATCAATGAAAACATTCACTATTATTGATTAAACAACAGGTTTTTAACGCGGCAGTGCCGTTAGAAAACTGCAGCTTTTTGGCACTGCGGCAGTGCCGATAGAAAGTAAGAACTCTTTTCACACTGCCGCCGATAGAAAATTATACTGCAACAGCTTATTTTGCACTATGGCAGTGCCGTTAGAAAACTGCAGCTTTTTGGCACTGTGGCAGTGCCGATAGAAAACCAGTGCCGATAGAAAACAGCAGCTTTTTTCCGCACTGCGGCAGTGCAAAATCGGCACTGCGGCAGTGCCGTATGTCGTTTCCGGCCATGTTAGAAATACTCTTTCCTGAAATTTTTCTCAATTTTCCCAACCAATGTGGGGCCGAGGTGGTTAACAACAGCCAGAAGTGTGTAAAGCAAGTCATAAGAGACAATGTTTTTAAGTTTTATTTTCTATGATAGGCATATAATCACCCAAATAAATTAATTAGATCTCAAATGTTGCTGAAGATTCCTTGATAAATGATCATGAAAAAATATATTAATGGCGATTTATTTGACTTAAGCCATAGGATAAAATGGTGATAATATGATTATGAATTTTACCATAGGCCTAAAGTTGTCATTTCCGGCCATCTAGAATTAATTTTTTTTCCATCAAATGTTCGTGTCTCCATTCGAACCATGGTGGAGAACGGTCAACCCTATCCCCCCATGGGCCACATCAATTTCGAATATCTGGATCCGTCACCGAGTTATAATTGATAATTATGTTATAATTACTGATAGTATTAGGGCTTATTTATGATGCGTGTATTGCAATTTTCACTTTTTACCCTCAAAACTGTCCTACAACGTCCAAAATGCCCAGACCTCCCAGAGGGTCATCGCTTCTTGGAATCCACCCCTTAGCGTGTGGGTGAAGGGCAGTAGCGTACGAAGAAGTCCCCAAGAACACAGCCCTGCGCATACCTCACAAGACGGCTCCCACCCTTTGAAATTCCTGGCTGCGTCCGGGCTGAATACAAGCCTTCAGATGATGACAGTGTTTAAAATAAAACAATTAAACAAATATATTTGCTTTCCTTTCAAAGACACCACTTAGTTTTAGTCATTTATTTTTCCCATATCTCATAAAAATGTTTTTTTTGTTTTTTTTTATAAATTTGCCCCCTTGAATATGTTCAAACACATGGTACATACCTCATGAATAGTTATTACACTTTTTGTCTTTGTTCCCTTTCCTCGATCGAACTTGGTGCATTCCTCTATGTACAGCACTACATTTATCATCTGTGAATATTGTTAAGTTATGTGGATGAAAAAAAATTTAATAGTGAATATAATTGACAACTGTTTGTAAATTAATTGTGGAGGTTTTGGTTAAATCAGTTTTATTAGGTTAGTTGGTCCCCATTCACATCAACATCATGATATTCTGTATTATTAGTTATGGTACATTAAATTTATAATTCTACGAATAAAAAACATCACCAGCACTTTTTTGAAAAGATTGTACATTGTTATGTGGGTCCAGTTCAAGCTGCCAAATATAATTTAATAATTTTTTTTAAATTCAGTACCTCTTGACATGGCTCCATTTTCAAAATAGTCTTTAAAACCTTTCCAGCTCTATCTTTCAAAACCTTCATTGGCAATTTTGTAAGCATACAAAACTCAGTAAGCACCTAAAAAAAACTCAGTAAGCACCTAAAAAAAAAAAAAAAATTCTCTTTTATCAAAATATCAGTCATCACTATTCTAAACATTTAAAAGTAGTTTTAAATCCCCAAAACATGGTGTTACGGTGGCTTAGTATATGATTTTTACTACCTGAATTTAGGCAGTGGATTAGCGTAGTGGCGAAAAAAGACCATAATTTAACAACAAACTTAGGCAACACTTGGATGTTTCAAACGAAAAAGAAAACCATTCAACTTACATACTCGCCCACTTTAAAACATAGGAACTTTTTTACAATAGGCTGCATTTCTCCATTTTTTATGGTTGAAATCCAACTTCTTCTTCCTGCCAAGCTTTCTTTCAACAGTAGATTTACATGCGAAGAATTCTGCCGTTCTTTCTCAAACTCTTTCTGAAGAGTGTTAACATGGTTTACAAAATCGTCATTTGATTGACTTGACTCTTGACTCTGCGATATGAATTCAAAGCGTTTCTTCTTTTTTCCACTGGAGTGGTACTTCTGTCACTCTTTCTTTTGCCAGACCAACGCAAATGGCGGATTTTTTGACTGAGGCACCTATTGAAGTATGACTGGTTATAAAAAAAAATAAACATACATGTATTAAGATATGAATAAAAAATTGTTAAACACCTTTTTAATTTTAAATTATGAACCAGTAACAGTAAATACATTATGTTGTTTAATCGTATAGAATATAAACTTTGGTCTTATAGTTGGAACACATATTGAAGCCACTAGAATACATAATTCTGTTTTTCTTTGTTCAATCAGGCAACATAAGAGAGGAAAGAATTAAGTACTGGTTCTAAAACACATGGTGTGATAGGATTTGGCATTATTTGTTATAGTATGTCAGTGTTATTAAGATTCACTCAGCCAAACATAAATTATTTTCGTTTCCTAGAGTCAATCGTAGAGGTGGAGGAGTTGTAGTTGTGACAAAACTGTCTCCAAATTGTTGTAAACTGAATGAGTTTACATCCTTTGAAGCTTGTGAAGCAGAGTTTACATTCCATAATAAAAAAGTGATTAATGTCACTATTTATAGACCACCACCCGCACCTACCTCTCTGTTTTTTGTGGAATTTTCCCAATTGGTTGAGCGTTTTTTACTTCTTCCCAACCTTATTATTGTTGGAGATCTGAACATCCACATGGATGATACCAGTAACCACCACACAAACCGTTTTGTAGAAATGCTTGAATCATTTAACCTTGTCTACACATGTTCATGACCATACTCTGGATCTTGTGATTACTAACAATCAGAACCTCATAAAAAATTGTCATGTACACCAGTACCACTTATCTGATCATTACATTGTTCACGCTCAACTTGATATAACCAAACAATTAAATTATAAGAAGAAGGTTTTATTCCGTAACTTTAAGAACATCGAAAATAATGTTTTTACAACCTTATTTTCTGTAGCATTTTCTGGCTTCGGCAACAATGTCAACAACCAAGATGTTAATTCTATGGTATTTGCATATAACAGAACCCTTAATTCAATTCAAAATGAAGTTGCACTTGAGAAAATGAAAGTTGCTACCACGAGACAAATGTCTCGATGGTACAACGATAATTGTAGTATTGAAAAAAGAAAGTGTCGCGTATTAGAGCGTAAATGGATCAAGTCTTGTGATTCTGTTGATAAAACAGCTTTCAAGAAGCAATGTGCAAAATATCACTCTGTTTTAACCAATACAAAAACTGCCTACTTTCAATCTCAAGTCGAGAAATGTGGAAGTGACCAACGGCTGTTGTTTTCTTTAATGAACAAACTTTGCTGTAAAAGTAAAGGAACTCTCTTACCGTCCACACCCTCTGATGTTGAATTAGCACAAGCATTTAACACATACTTTCACAATAAAATTAAAACTTTTAGAGCATCTCTACCAGTCATATCGGCTGACGCTTTCTCAGTGCCGGATGCTGACGGTTTTGAAATTAGTCACTTTACAGAACTAGAAGAAAATGAAATATTAAACATTGTAAAAACAGTTTCATCGAAGACATGCTCATTAGATCCTTTCCCTACAAAATATATTATCGAAAATATTACATTTTTCCTACCTGTGTTTTGTCAGATTGTTAATTTTCCTTTTCATCTGGCACTTTCCCTGATGACCTAAAAGTGGGGATCATCAGGCCAATGCTTAAGAAGCCTAACTTAAACCACAATTAACTTGCTAATTTTAGACCAGTTTCTAACACTCCTTTCCTCTCTAAACTCTCTATCTTAGCTTCCATGTCAACCACTGGTCTGAAGCCAAGAAAACCATTGAAGCAT